AAGTCCGGTCCATTACGGAATACTCCGAAAGAAATCTTCAGAATAGTAATTCGAAGTGGTTATTGAAGGTCATAACAATAATTGACATCACCGAGAATAGCTTTGAATACCCATTGGAGTCCTGTCCCTATGGAATCGNAAGGGTGAGGAGGTCTCCTTCATTTAATAGCGATACATCTGCTCTCGATCAAAAACATTAAAAAAAGATCAAACAACTTAACACATCTGCTGGGAAATGTGTAAACTCTAACAGAACCGTAAGTCTTGTGAAGGCTCATTGGCCACATTGACATCATCGCTTTTGGCTTATGAGGAAGCCGCTAAGAGCTATTCCAGCAACAAACGAAGCCAATCTGCATTCAATGCGCCAAATTACGTTGTCGCCCTGTTGAGGGCTATTGCTTCGTAAGGGCCCAAGGGTTGTGGCCAGAGGCAGATAGCAATTCATTAGAACTTTATGACATGGCTTTAATCAAATGCGTAAAGTATCGAGCTGTTTCATCAATTTAAGCCGAGCCAAACCAAGCGATTTCCAAGTTCGTACACTTTCGAATGCCCTTTGGCCTTCTGCCGTCAGCCAAAGACTACTTCGAATTAAGCTTATTGAGTAGCTGACTACACACGACACGATAAAAGGAAAAACGCTTCTATGACATATTACCCAAGGGACCCCCTCCCCCTGAAAACATGCATTTCAGCTTCATCCACCTACCTCAAATAACGAAAATCCTAAAACTGCCAAACTGTTCAATTTAGTAGCGCAATAATATGAGAAGGGCAGAAACTTCTAGACCGATCAATTACTGGCAAGTACTTGGTTAAGTACAGTAAAGAGAAGAGCATCCAATGAAGAAGACACCGCACGCTCAACAGCATCGTATATGAGGCTGACGAAGAATGTTGGGCGCGTATGAACTCGGACCAATTCGACTGAGCACAAATTCGATTTAACTGGAAATCATAAATAGCGACGAGAAAGTCTTTGGATTCTCATAGAAGTCCGGTCCATTACGGAATACTCCGAAAGAAATCTTTAGAATAGTAATTCGAAGTGGTTATCGAAGGTCATAACAATAATTGACATCACCGAGAATACTTTGAATACCCATTGGAGTCCTGTCCCTATGGAATCGTTTTGAGGAAATGTTAAGGATCACAGCTTGAGACAGGCTACAGAATAATTCGCGCTCAGCTTAGGCTAAATCCCCCCCCCCCCCCCCCCGATAGAACCGGTAAAAAAACAAAAGCGATAAAAAATAGCTTTGAACCACTGGTGCAATCTAAGCACATAGGTCTAAATAGAATGAAATGAGGAGCCTCCTGGTCTTTGAATTAGGAAAATGAGACTCATGATATAGAATCAACAGATGAACAGAATTGAGATCAAAATTGCTCTTCCAGGGTGTGATGCAGTAGGAACGAAATTGTCGCGTCGCGCCGAGAGACGCCGCGCGCGAAGGAATGTAGCGGAATGCAGCAGCAAGTAAGAAATACAGGAACAAAGGAACTAACAGTAGAATCATGCCAAAAGTAATAATCGCATATCGATTGAGCTGTAGGAAGGATGATAGAACTGTAATAACGGCGAATCGAAGTCCGCGACAGCCGCGTGCGACGAATAGATCACAGAGTACCGTTCCTACACCCCGTCTCCCGCTTTTCCGAACAGATCCATCTTGGAAACTAATTACAGAACTGACAGAAACTGTTTTTTCATGATAATGAAGAGAAAAAGTGCGTGGTGGTACACAATGATAATAAGAGATTATTAAATCTAATTTGCGATACCGATTTCGATTGGCGACTAGCGTAGGCTTTTTCAAGGACCATAGGTTCGGAATTGTTCAAAAAAGAATCGTATAACGTGCAAGTAAGAAGGAATACGAGCGAGCAAGTTTTCCATTAGAGCGCGTCACACAAATCCCACGGTCTTCATTAAAACTCTCAGAAGCTCAAAGTCAACAAAAACACATATAGAGGAACTGGGTGAAAATGTAGTTGGGGGGGGGGGGGG